TGATACAATATTTTTTTGTACAACTTGATGTGACAATAAAAGTTGATCCTGTTAGCAATATAATTATTGACGGCGAATGAATGTTGATTCTAATCATCTTGATGTTAAATTCATTATGATCACAGACAATACTTTTTCGAGCTCGTAAATTAGCAGCCCTAATCATGGAAGAGTACAATGATTTATGTTAGGGCAATTTACATACACATGACACAATTCTAAAACATTTATAAGCTAACACCAAAAATTTGATATATATATTCATAAAATATTAGGAATAAAAAAATATGAATAGTTAGTCGTAGTGATAGATACGTCAAAGGTTTGAATAGTATAAATATAAATATGAAAGTTTAGGGCTCAGTATGTAAATATATAAATATTGCGAGGTATGTATGTAAATGCAACTTTATATGTTATTTATAATAGACAATTTAACGGACAAGATTCATTCTCGCAATCAGAAGAATCTAGGGCTTCCTCTATAATATGGCACCGATCTGCGCCAAATTTCCGTTCTCTCGCGCGGCGGTGTCATCTTTCTCTCCTCTCCACTAGGTGCGGTGGCTATTACAAATTTTTATTTTTTTTTGGAAAAGCCAGATTGTTACCAATAAGCTGCCACCGCACCTAGATAAGTGCGGTGTGAAAATACTGTTTTCTGCATTTTGAAAACGCATAAGCTGTCAAAACACAGTTTACCCAAACAGACCATGTGCGTTTTCAAAACGCCACCGCATAATATAAGCTGCCCCAAACGGGCCCTTAAGCTCGAGCTCGAGCTCAAACTCGATAAAATTAATCAAGCTCAAGCTCAAACTAAGGGTGGCTCGAGCTCGACTCAATTCGTTTACACCCCTAATCTAAGAGAGCTCTCTTTGATCCCCTCACTCTGCATCCACACAATGAAATATAAGAAATTATACAATATATCAAGTAAAATGTTACATCTATTCATAATGTCTTGATGAAAAAATGACATTATGGATGTCAGGAGGCGTCATTATTATAGATAAGTGTATGTATTTTAAGGTAGTGATGGTCCTCTTCGATACTTTGTTTGCCCCCGGTCTAGTTGACCATTCAAGAGGAGGGTTTGGTTCAACCCCTTTGAGAGGTGGGCGAGTCTCCACGTGGAATATATATACATACACACACATGTATACATACATAAGCCGAGATCTTGGGTGGGATTTGCATCAGAAACTGTTCATGAATATGACAATTTAAATGTGGGGAAAGAAGAGAACAAAATAAAAGATAACTTTGACCGGGAAAGCTGATGCTGTTTCCTCAGTATTAATTAAAGTCTTGTTGACTTACTATATATAATAAAAAATTAAGAAAACAATTTAGCCACATACGCTTTTTAATTTACATATGTCATATAATCCTACATAAATCATTAATTAACATAATTATTCATGAACTATTTATATGAATAATTTGCTTAAATTATTCATATAATAAATTAAGCTTAGCCGGAGATTGCAATCTACGAATGAAATAAAAAAAAACATATCCGATAAAAATTGTTTAATCCGGTAAAATTAGTCTAATCAAATTTACATATCCCTGTTTACATAAAATTAATGCATGTCATTCAATTATATATATATATATATATATATGTTTTTTGGATTATTTTCACAATTTTTCTGAGGAAAGAATTAATATTTTTTATCGTTGAAGAAACTAATAAAGAGGATGTTCATATTATAGAACTTAAAAAAAGTAAATTTAAATACATTCCATATAGTTTCCATGTATATATATTTCTAACAATTCAAATTTAATATTTATATTTATAATATTTTAGTATCAAACTTATAAATTTATGCATGGAAACTATGTAACTTTTAAAAAACTAGTAATAATGATATTTTTTTATTAAAGATTAAATACTATACTAGTAAACATGGAACTTTAGGTATTATATATATATGTAAATATATAATGTTTGGGTGGTTCCCATGCAGATGCCCTTAGAAAATAAATAAATAAAAAAAGAGCTTGTGGTAAACATGAAAGTTATGCTAATTAGGGGTGTAAACGAATCGAACACGAACGAACAGAGCTTGTGTTTGTGTTGGGTTTGTTTGAAATTTAGTTTGTTTGAAATAAACTCGTGTTCGAAACTATTCGTGAAGTCACCAGTTTGACATCGCTAATATTAATATATATAAATAATATATTATATTAATTATCTAATTTATATTATATCTATATTAGTATATTACTAATGTAGTATATTAATATATTATTATTATTAATTTATTATATATTATAATTTATAAAATTTAATTTTTTAAAATATCATAATTTTTTATATATAATTATTTTATATTTCGAAAAATAACGATTTGAACACGAACGAACACATCATTGTTCACGTTTGGTTCGTTTAACTAATCGAACGAAAAAAAATTGTTCACGTTCATCTCATTTACTTATCGAACGAATCGAACATGAACTCATCGACGAACCGAACACGAACTCATCGACGAACCGAACACGAACTGTTCACGAACAACGAGCTTTTTTGACAACCTTAATGCTAATATAACGGGCAATCGACATGTTAACAAAAAATTTATTTGATTCAGCATAATTCTAGACGAACATTCATCTAGGTAGATATGTGATAACAAATCAGAAACTTTTGAATTTGGGCTCAATACCATTTGAACTACATTTTTCAATAGTTCAATGATACAAGGAATCTTGTTTGAAAGTCCAAACATGATCTACAAAAGCATTCTGTGAGCCGCGTTTGACAAACATATGATCATTCAACTTTGTTATTCTTTACACATGTAGGGAGTTCCCAAGGAAATTGAAGGAGAATTTTATGAGGGAGATTTCAATGTTCTATATGTCAGGACTTGACAATTATCATTGATCACCATCGATGCTCAATATTCTTCAAGCAAGACTGTTATCTTTTGTCGACGTTAACTCCAAACGGCATTAACCTTGATAGCTTCGACGCTCGATATTTTTCAATAAAATTATAATCAAAATACACACTAAAATTTTTATCAATTAAGAGTCAAAATAAATCAATAATCATAATTAATTAAGGTCATTTACATGCATGCCTGTCAATTCTTGTGTGTGTATGTATCTAAAACGTAAGTATTCATATTTACATGCAAATCACTTGAATCTTTAATATCACATCAAAACTATCATAATAGCATCATCTTAAAAGTGAAATATATACTCCATTGGTAGGTTTATGGCACCATTAAGTTTTAAGTGTATATATCAAATTGTAAGTGTTAGATATGCAAATTGATAAGAATTTTGTGGTATGAGTGTAAATTTGCCAATTGATTAGTTTTTAAAATATTTATCTTCGACAGATCCATGTATTCATAGGCTTTAATGGGGATGAATTGTCTAGGATTTTTAATTCCGGGGTACACCTAAATTTGAACTCTAATATCATTTGTTATGAACAAATTAATCAAAATTGATCAAATCAATGATCGAAATCTGTTTTTAAGTCTAAGATAGTCATTTGATATTTCTATTTGGTTTTTATTTTAAATTATTTAATATAAGTTTAAATTCAATATTTTCACATATTTAAATAGCTTGTTTTCTACCCTTTAGATAACAATGAAATATGCTATGCGCCATAATTCAAAGAAAGGCGTTGATGGCTAATCACATGGGTGACATGTGATTATTGGCTTATTGTGCCAAGCAAAATAACCCCATATTCCCATCTTGGAAAAAACTTGTACTTGGCTCGAAGAAAAAAAAAAAAAAAATTGTTTTAGTTGGGTCGGTTGTCTCGTCTAAGCCCTTAATTGATTCAAGCATCGATCGACATTTTAAACGTGATACTTTATAATATATTTGTTGATCATGCCATTTTGAACTTGTTTAGGAGTTCAATTAAAACATATAAAATTGGGATCAAATTATGCACTAGGACTCTTTGAGTGTGATAGCCGAAACTCTCTCCAATCAATATATTGTCCACTTTGGCCAAATGACCTTATATTTTGAACTTGTTTAGGAGTTCAATTAAAACATATTAACTTTGGATCAAATTATACACTACAAGGACTCTTTGAGTGTGACAGCCCGAACTCTCTCCCATCAATATATTGTCCACTTTGGCCAAATGGCCTTAAGATTTTGCTCCTCTGATATAACTTCCCAGGAGGTCACCCATCTGAGGAGTGTTTCAGGAAAAACACTTAATTTTGGAGTTTCTAATGAAAATTCTACCGTTACACCAATAGACACCTCGATGTTTAAGAGTTCGGTTTCATTCTGATTAAAAGATTTCACAATCTCCCCCGCTTAAGCAGTCGACGTCCATGCTTGTTTTTTTATCCATAATCATCCACCGAACATATAGGATTCTAAAGATGACCCCTGCATATTCAAGAAGAGGCTCCTGCCATGTAGCACTTGTCCCATATTGGGTTCAAGAGGCGGCTCCCATGGCATAACATTTTGTTCTACATGACACAGTTCAAAATTTTGAATTGATTTTGCTCTGATATCATTTGTGACAACTCAGACACTCACCCATCAATGTATTGTTTGCTTGGGCCTAGTGGCATCACAATTTGGTTTCGTTTGTGCAACATTCCAGGAATTCACCCATACTAGGAGTGCTCCATAATGAACACTGTTAACTTTGAAGCTTCTAATGAAAATTCCATCACTACACCAAAAGGATTTTCTAATGAAAATTTCACCACTACACCAAAAGGCGCATCGCTGTTTAAGAGTTTCGACTTCATTCTACTTGAGGGGTTTCACAGTGAGATCCATGCTTTTTATAAAAATCACACTTGATCAAACAAAATAAACTATAAAATATAGAATAAAAATAAAAGACATTTTAAATCTCTTACATTTATTTATCACCAACTACAAAGTTTCAGTGGCCTTGACATCTATATAAGTAGGAGGGCTATGTCATTCACCCTCATCATTATTCATCCAATTTCATGCGATCCAAAATACAGAATAAAAATAAAAGACATTTTAAATCTCTTACATGTATTTTATCACCAACTACAAAGTTTCAATGGCCTTGACATCTATATAAGTAGGAGAGCTATGTCATTCATCCTCATCATCATTCATCCAATTTCATGTGATCCAAAATATTCTTTCCTTCCAATTTGCTAGCAAAAATAAGCTTTGCATACTATTCAAAAGGCAAACTTCTATAAAGCAACTTATCTCTTTTTGATATCTCTGGTAACGGTCCCACCACATCACCAACATTTAGTGTATGAAATCCAGCAACTGATAGCCGCTCCTTGTTATTTCTCACAATAGCCCTGTGCTCAATACTTTTATATTTCCCGTTGCATAATATCTGCGGCAACCATAGAAATATGATGATAAATTTTAATTCATATTTACATTATTCCATCTTTCGAGGCAATCATAATATAATTATTCATAAATGTAAAATATGTGAATACATGCAAAAATAGTTACTTAGTACATGCATTGATGCATACATTGTCAATTCAATTTAAATTTATTTGAAATCCAAGTTGGTTTTGAATCTTTCCTATCAGTTTAAATATTCAAGAAAATATTTCAATTAATTTTTTGAGAAAATTTTCAACGTTCAAGTAAATTTTTATGTCTAAATCATAGTTTACACTCTTAAAATTGATGCAGAACTTATAGCTTAAAATACTAGGTTGATTACCTCAATAGCATCACCAACGTTAACAATGAAAGCTTCCGGTAGAGCTTTAACATGGAGCCATCCACCATTTCTTCTAATTTGCAAGCCTTGCACTTCATTTATTTGTAGCAATACTGTCAATCCGACAGCATCAGAGTGCGGAGAAAGACCCAAGACCTTCTCAGGACATGGACATGGAGGATAGTAATTGAATCTGAAAGATTGCATACCCCCTCTGAACATCTCATAAAACTTCTCAAATCCTAGCCCCAAATTTTTTGACATCATTTTGAAGAGACCGTCAGCTACTCTTTTCACTTCCATTGCATACTCGTCAAGAGTTTTCCTAAAAACATTATTAATGAAAAAGATTTGATAAATAAAGTTTTTGATTGCTAATGATATGTTAATGAGATTAATCATAAAATTAGTACCTGCATGAAGGCGGATTAGTGGGCCATAATTGCAATTGTTTGATGTTTGGAGGAAATGTTGCGAGGAAAAGCATGTCTCCCCAATCAAGTTTTTGTTCCTCTGAATGAACAAATGCTTGGCCGTAGCCTTCTATTTGGCCCGGTATTTGAGCGACTTTCTCCTTCTCTTCTAATGGAAGCTTAAAGAACTCTTCAATGTCTTGTCTTAGTTTGCTTATAATATCTTGGGATATGCCATGATTTATTAGCTGCGCTTAACATTACTTATATGATCAGAGTGGTTAAGAAATCAAAGATGATCAGTTCATGATGAATTTCATTGTGTTCGGTTGTCTGCAGGTACAGCTCGGCAAGGCCACCTTAGCATGCATGCCGAGTTGTAGTGCTAAAGTTGGCCGTCCGCATGTGCGGATGTGCAGATAACAGACGTAATATTTTCTTTCGCAATTGAGAGCCATTGTAGGCAAGTAAAACTCTAAGATTCTCCAAATATGCAATAATTTATCTCATAGAGATGCTTGATTTGATTATAAATATGCAATTATACAATATTTGAAAATCATTTAAATCCTCACTTGATCTTCAACTATGTTTCATATACTTTGATTTGCTTTCATATATCAGTTCGATCACTTATGATTTTAATGGGTTCATCTCATTCGGAAGTTCAATTTGACAATAAATTTATTGAAATTATAATTCAGGTGATTTGAATTTTAACTAAAAATTCTCAATTTGAATATCATTTTGAGATTCGTGCTTCATCAAATAAATATATAGTTGATATACCAAGTATTAAATAGTAAAAGATCACTTAAAATTTTAAATATGACAGATTTAGCACTTATATTCCAAAAGAAAATAAAATTTTAAGTGGTAAAAATATAAATTTTAAATTTTGATGATCAAAATATTATATTTAAAAATTTGAATAATTTTCAGGTTTATATTTTTCTAAATAAAGGAAAAAAAACAGCCTCTTTCACTATAATTAAGACGTATTGAATTAAATCCTTTGAAGAACATAAAGATGAACCTGAAAGAAGCCCCAATCTGCACAGACGGAGTGCAGCCTTGCAGCTTCCTCCTCCGAGTACTCGGAATCGTATAGCTTGCCGAAATCGATGATCGGGATGCCTTCGCCGGAGTTTTCTTCGTCGCGGGCGACTATGTCGGCCTTCCTCTCCTCCCTCACATATCTATCTGGAATCTCTGAGCTCACCTTTGCAGCGAGAGCCTGCACATTGTCAACCTTCAACGAGCCTCCAAATCTCCCAAGTCCAATTTTCTCTTCCATCTCCCCTCCCTAAAACATCACGTTTGGGTACTTGTTTTATAAATAATAGGCGCATTTACATACATAACACTTAAAACATTACTATTTACAAATCAAACACCTTCTTCCATTCATATTTCAAATTCTCAAATGTCAAAATTCACGATAATACCCAGCCTATAGTTTTTTTTAAATTAAATTCTCAATGAATTGATTGCAGCACATTATAAATATATCCGTTCGATATGTCAAAAATAACCCCTGGATGGCAGATTTTATAAATAGTAATGTTTCGGGTACTGCATATGTAATTTCAAAAATAATAATTTATTTTTCAATAGAGCAAAATTAGAATTTATGAAGATGTTAAAGATTAAAACATTTATAAAGAAAGATGGCATTCAAACAATGTCAGGATCGAAATGAATTTTAAAATTTATCTTACACATATGCACATTTGTGGTAAATTTGTAAATATGGTTTTACTCTAGCAAGAGATCCCATAAATTCCTAAGCATTCCGTTCCATCTTTTCTTCTTCTTCTTCCGTCTTTTTTTAGTAGTTTTATTCCTTCTGTTTTCTTTTATTGAAAATAACATTCAGATTGCTGAAAATTTTGATATTTTCAAATATATTATTATTATTTTTAGGGCCTGTTTGGGGCAATTTATTTGGTACGGTGAAGTTTTGAAAACGCACCTGACCTGTTTGGGTAAACTGAGTTTTGGTAGCTTATGTATTTTGAAAATGCTGAAAACGTTTTCACACTGCATCTATCTAGATGCAGATAGATTCGGTGACAGCTTTCTGTCAGCACTCTGACTTTTCGAAAAAAATAAAAATTTGTAATAGCTACCACACCTAGCTTATCAACATATTATTTTTAATCAGTTTATTAGCAGATTATTTAATAAGCTACAGCTATCACAAACAGACCCTTAAACTACTCAACTGATGCATTTACGTGTGCCTCAATTAAATTATTTTGAATTTGATAAAAATAAAAAATAAGAATTGTGCTTTACCATTTACCATGAATTTGGATATTTTATAGACCACTTGAGAAATGGATGAAAGAGAATGGAATATTTGTAAATAGAAACTTGGGATCTGAGTTGACTTGAGTCGACTCTAAGATCATCTTCCATTTTGAGGCGGGTCCCACTTAAATAGTGTTCTATTTATTTATTAAATAAAAGAGATAATAATAATTTTTTTGAGCTTGATCGAACAGAAATAAAAATTTCTTCATTTTAGTTTGATCATTTGATTCAAAATAAAAAATATATATATATTAAATAAATATTAAATAAATAATATGTAAAATATAAAGTAATAGTATTTTTGAAATGATTTCAAACATTTGATTTGTATAAATGTAAAAAATAGAAAAATTAGGTGTTAGTTATGTTAAATATGTAAGAATTAGGTGATATGTACGTACATGAGTGTTTTTAGGAACTTAAATATCTAAGAAAGGGATGGTATGCATAAATGCTACCGCCTGAATATGTAAATACAAGAGAAAGTCTTCCCCAAAAAAACCCAAACCGGATATTAAAGCAAAAAGTGGATTTACATACATGTTAAAAGAGGATCCCAGCAACGTGAAGCAATTAATATTTGAAAATAAAAAAAAAATTGTTTTTGATGATTATTAAATTTCGAACAACAATACATAAATAAAGTCAAATAAGAACGTAATGTTCACGAATAATTTTGAACACGAGCTCGCACAAATTTGACTTGTTTATAACCCAAATTACATTTTATTAATTTCATTATGGAGTCGTTAATAAATTTAAGTAGGACTTAACTTAAATCTTATGAGATTAAGGGTCTGTTTGGGACAGCTTGCCCGCGGGGGACGACCTGCGGTCTGAGTTTAGTGTAAAAACTCAAACGCGGCAGACAGCTTTTTAAAAAATGCGCAAACCAAACGGTTAGATGTCGTTTTTAAAACACCGCCGCACTTATAAGCTGTCCCAAACATGTCATAAATAAATAATTTTAAGTTAAGAATTTAATAAATCTTATGAGATTTATTAAATCATGCTGCCGACAGGACTTAATAAATCAAAATTTATAAGATTTATTAAAGCTGTTAAATTTGCTCTGTTCTACTACATCAACATCAAATAGTTTTGTTTCGTACAAGTCCTTATTAGTTGCAATGAAAATAATGTTTAAAATGTTATATTTAAAAATTGAGCGATTAATACTATGTTTAATATTTTGAATGATTGGTGTGTATGCAAAAATTTCTATCAACTTGTTAAAATTAAATTTAATTATTCTCGGAAGCTTCAAATCAGAAAGCAACGCTGGAAAATAATTTCATAATTTCCCAAAAAAGCTGACGTGGCCGATCACAGACCACACGCTTGAGAAATTTTTTTTCTCTCTCTAAAATCTCATTTCGGAATGTCATTTTTATTGGCTAAGGTTGAAAAGTCCGACTTGTACATTGGTTGGACGAAACATTCCTATGAAGTAAACCTTATTTAGAGTATCTTTGAAGCAACTGTTGATTATTCATAATTTGATAATTATCAAAATAAATTAACTTGTTGTTTGAGGTAGTTTATTCAAAATAGTTTATTGGTAGTTATGACTGTATAAATGACATTCATGCCCTTGTCTGATAAAGCTGTTTGGGGGAACTTATTTAGAATAACTTATTGATAGTACAAAAATATATAATGCAGAAGCATAAAATCATCACAGATCACTTCCAAAAGATGACATACAGTTCTCACACTCTCGTGAGTATCAGAAAAAATAAAAAATGATAAAGACAGATACAAATAAACAAAAATCAAAAAATATTTGTTGTCTTCTGTTTTGATTAAATCAAAAATATATGCAATAAACAAAATGATAATGTCTATTTTACCTCTAATTTCTCGGACCACCAAAATTGTCAAAATAGTTTTATGCCAAGAGGAGAACTTAGCTCAAGTATTACTTCATACAGACACGAACACAATGAACCTCCCAAAAAAAAAAATAGTACAAAAAAAGTCTATTCTTGGGGAACAGAATCCAACAGATTAGCAAGAATAAGAATAATACATCAAAACCCCTTTCCTTTTCATCCATCGATGGATCTTCCCTACCGTGGGACATGACTAGAAGTTAGTGTGTTGTTGGAGTTTTATTGTTAGATTTGTAAAGCATGAAGCAAAGCATTTCTGTCCAAAGAGAGTTATGTAGATTGCAGTAGATGCTAGCCTTGAATTAGACCGAGTAATGTATCTTACTCGGTAAGATGTGACTCGATCGTGAAATCCCCCATTACTCGGAATTGTTATTGCTAGCATTCTACCAATGAGAGACCGCCCAATCAAGTTACATAAGGGCATTTAAATTCAAATATTGATATGCCTTGATCGAGAGCTTGTTCAATGCTAACTTTTTAAATTAAAAGTGACCAACAATAGCAAGTTTGCACCTAAAATTTACCTGGCCTCTTTGTCAAATCCAAACCGAGCTCCAAAAGAAAAGGCAACTGCAAATAACCATGCATCACTATGAACTGCAACAAGTGACAACCAATCCTTTTCATCCATGCCATCCCTGGCAAAATTTATTCCTAATGCAAGTTCAGGGAGCTCATGGGGCACTTCCTCAGCAGGCAAGGTCACCTCCTAGGTCTCATTAGGAAGCCCATAAAGACACAAGTTCTCCTTTTCTGAAATATAAAAGCATTTTACCATTAAGGCATGAAACATAGTATTAACCATGGTTTACAAAGAAGCAACAACATGAACAGACTACCGTAAGAATGTGTTCAACATGATGATCTTGGTGCAGCTCTGTGTGCGTCTGTGTACGCATCTCAACATGAATACCAATTTAGATATAAAAAAACATGTTACAAAGAGAACAATAAAAAGAGAATCGGCAGACAACGAATGTAACATCTCTCGTTACCAACAAAAAAAAAAAAGTGGACAGAGAAAAGCACCATTCATAGATTATGAAATGCTCATAAAATTTAATTTTCCATTGATCTAAATCCAACAAACAACAAGAAAAAAAGATATTTCCTGCATGCTATCAGTTGAAGAAATATCAATATTTAGCTAGCAAATCCCAAAATCCTACCTTGGTACCGAAATGAATGAAAGCAATCAAACATAAGAGAGCAAGAGGAGCTATTAACCATGACCGAAACCCCAAATATCACTCTCGCTAGTCGCTAGATTCTCAAAAACTCCCAGGCTGAAACAGAAAAATTTAGTAAAAAAGCCTGGCACAGTATAATACAACTTACCCGGATCACACAGCCGGTAGAACTTCTTATTGAGAAAATTAGGGCGAAGAAAAAACAGTAATCGACACAAATCCAAAAGAACACAGAGATTTAACGAGGTTCGGCAAAGATAGATGCCTACATCCTCGGGAGCAGAGCGGCGAGTTCCTTTCAATATTCAGAAAACAGATTACAGAATAAAGGATCCTACTCTCTCAAAGACCTAGGATTACAAACAAGTCTATTTATAATCCTAGAGTAAGACCTACAGTACAATATGTAATTCCCAAATTACCCGTGTACCGTATAACCCCAACCCATATAACGTAACTTCCCGATTTGGACAGATTCTTTCGCTCCGCTTCGTTCTAGTTTCTGTCCCTATATGGTATATGAGTCATACTATAACACTTCTCTACTTCTGAAACAGCACCACCACCATCAAAACAAGAAAGCAGACTATAAATTAGAATACACATTGCACAGGAGAGTATGCAACAAATTTAGAAAAACAGTAAAACCCGCACGAAATAAAACGGAAGGTGATGGGATAGGGCAAAGCAAAGACCTGTCGTCAGAGCCTTCACCATGCCCGCCCGACGGCCTCTAAAATCCCTGAAGACCTCCTCAGGTGTCTGAGGATTGTACGCCGCTCCGCCTCCTTCCATTCCTTGTGTGCCACTTCAATGGAGAAATGGCGGGAGAAGTTTCCGAATTGCACAACAACCCGCAGTCTGGAGCACACAGCAAACGACAAAGAAGATGGCGAGGGCGAGGGGGCGAGGGGAGTGAGCGAGATATGGGAAGGGGCAGCATAGAAATTCTTTACTAATCCCAAAATTCATACTTGGGACTCATGGGGAGTCCGGCTTGCGAAATCACGAAGAGAATCGCGATAGAAAAATGCCGCGGCACAAAATATTTAGACTAAATACGATATCCAAATCGGGAGGCGGTGTTTTAAAAATGCTGCCGCACCCTATAAGCTGCCACAAAAGGGCACTTAATTTATGCGAGGTCCACAAATCCATAATGTTAATAAGTAATGATAATAAGTGATGCCACAGGCCCTAATCACATGGATTATGTTAAGTTCGCTTGTTAATGGGCCCTGCAATTGTAAATATTTAAGTTTTTGAGCTTTGTCAAATTTAATGTAGAATAATTTTGGAGTTCATATCTTTATATTTTGCTAAACTTAGTAAAATTGAAAATCAGAACTTATTCATTGAAAGATTCCATATTTATAGAGAAAAATTTGTGTAATATGTGATGTTGCATTTATGCCCCTGCTTGAATAAGGGTTGTACTGGTTAAAGATATTTTATATATGCTAGTCTAGAGCGTAGTTGCTCTAAGGGTCAGCTGACTAGACTGATGAGCCCTAATTAGGCGATGTCAGCTGGCTAAGCTAGAGAGGCTCTTTGGTCAGACTGGTCTGAAAGTCTATCGATCATATAGGCTTAATGTTGCAGTTGGTTGTCCTTTTATTAGCAAAGGATTGGTAAGATCACCCCTTAAGGCTAATTTGCGCAATCAGTTGATCAATAAATGGTAAGACCGAACCTGAAAAGGAGCTCCATTCGTTAGGACAGAGCTTTGTTATTAGACAAAATGTAAATCACTGTAATCTGATAGGTAGCTGCCCCTATATAGAGAAATCTTGAGGGTGACATAAGATTAATCTCTTTGATTTTTTTATGACGTTTGGGGAGACTATTCAATGTTTCTGATAGAATTAGGGAACCTAGGTGTTAGCTTCCCCTTTGGATTGGTTTTATCTCGTGGAGTGACTTGTGTTTTCCTATACATTGCTTCTAGTTAGTCTGCAGGTTTGAACCGTTTGGTTCCTTGAACTGTCTAGGTCTGGATGCTTTCAATTAGATAATTGGGCTTTAGAGTCTCTTATTTGTGGGCCCTTCTTTGATATGCCCAATCTTGTATGCATTATCAGATCTCCTCAAGATTTATGCTGACACTTTTTCTATATACATATTACAACGATGGTAAAAACTGCAACTGTTTAATGCAATTGAGTCAGATAGATGCGTGAATCCATTTAAATCCATCTTAATGAGTGACTTGTGATTTGAGTTTGATGAAATTAAGTCAAATATTATGAAGGCTTGGCTTTATTTTTATTTTTATTTCACACTTGATGAACACCTCTGCAATAAGTTCATATATAAGATTATAAGATTTATATTGCAATTTAACAATTTAATTTCAAAAAATTTTAGAAGGTCCATTTATATAATGCTAAATTATTTATCCATTGTTAGTGGTAAAAGCTCCTGACAGAACTTTCATCGCAAGCCAACCACCATTTCTTATAATAAGTAGCATTTATATCCCCCGATATTAGAAGAAAATATTTCGTCCAGACACCAAACGTCTGGATAACTAACCACCGGTAACCACGTCGTTATAGTTGTGGGTGACATGACCTCCAGTGATTAGCCGTCGAACATCTACACATTAGAGTGCGGAAAGAGGCCTAAGGCTTTTCAGGATTAGGGCATGAAGGATAATAATTATATCTAAAAAATTGGATATCCCCCTTAAAAATATCATATAACTTTTCAACTCTAAGACCCAATTTTGCATGCCAAATTTGTTTTATTTATTTATTTATTTGTTTTTTTGACGCTTTGCAACGTTTATTTTGTTTAACGGACCGAGCATTGCAAGTTTTTGGCCCATTTTATAAATTGAAA